ACATCATCCACAGTCAACAACAACAACAACAACAACAACAACAACAACAACAACAACACCACCAACAACCACCGACCTGTGTAACCCAGTAGACCACATCATCCACCGTCCACAGCGGCACCTGCTGCGACAGCTTGTGCGGGATCTTCTCCCCGATCATCTTCAGCGCCTCTGCTGCCAGTTTGGACGCCACGGTGTTGGGACTGGAGGCGATCTTCTTCAGGGGCTCCACCGCGTCGATCTCGTGGAAGATCTGGCCACCCGACAAAGGGGAAACAGTTTTAGTTTTAGTAAAGAGTTTTACGGTACTTGCAACACAATAAGGTCATATAAGTGCCAAAGAATAGATATGTTACAAGAGAGTAACAAACACAAAAAAAGAGGAGAGATCTGGACAATAAATGTTTGATAGGAAAAAAGGAAAGAGCAAACCACACCAGAGCACCCCCCGACCACCCACAAAGGGTTGTGGGTGGTTGGCGGGTGCTCTGGTGTGGTTTGCTCCTTCTTTCCTATCAAAAATCTATCATCCTTATCTCCCCCTTCTTCTTTTTTATGTTTGTTACTCTCTTGTAACACGGTGTAACACCTCTAATCTTCTGGCGCTCATATGACCTTATGCAGTTGTGAGCGCCGTAAAACCTCTACGATTGGCATACGATTGGCAAAGAGAAGTGCATCCATACAATAATAGTCATTTAGTGCCGGGAAAAAGTCAGACAGACAGACAGAAACAATAGAGGGAAAAAAAAGTAGTTGAGCATACCAGAATCAGACTTGGACGTGGAATCCACATGGAAAATGTAAGAAAGGAAGACCAAATATGACATGGAATCGAGCGGTACAGGCGGAAATGGAAAAAGAGGGGACATCATGGAAACAGCTAGAAAAGAATGCACAGGACAGGCTTCGCTGGAGAAATGGTGTGGATGGCCTTTGCTCCACTGGGAGTTACAAAGGGCAAGAGAGAAGTACCAGAAACAGGACACAGGACCAAAAAAAAAAAAAAAGCAAAAAAAGCTCACAGAGCACCTACCTCCTGTCTACCCTGTTCCGCCTTGATGATAGCCTCCCCCTCCCCCATTCACCTCTCACCACCCCCACTCACCTCTCACCT